TATCTCAGATGGTGAAAGATTTTCAACAAGAATCTTTTGGAACAATGGTAGTACTAGCTTAACAAAGAGCAGGCTATTATCTCACTACAACTGATCACAAATGAAGGAGGGAAAATCTGAGTCGAATTTTTAACACACATACTGTTAGCTCATCAAGAAGACACTAAAAGCAACAGGAAGCATTTAGCTTAATTTAACACAAAGTCCATGTCTCATGAGCTGCTGTAACTCCTCGCTTATCTTTTCCCAGTGTATAAAGTATAGAAGGGAAATTTCTTGTTGGGTTCTAACTTGAAAATCTCTGTCATTAGCTGGTTCTTTGATAAAATTATGACTTTTGGAAATCTTGGTATCAGCTTCAATATTAATTTCAGTTTTGTCCAGCACATCATGAGTTTAGCATCTACAGACACAAAGGCATCTAAAAAAAACCCATCCAATCGAACAGAACTGAGATGCTGGGCTTTTAACCAGGACAGAAAGAACTGAGTTTAGTATTTTACAACTTTCATTACTCTCCATTGCTGCAGAAAAAATCTATTAACAAATGTCTTGGAACAAGAATTCTGATCTTTTTTTCCATGTTGTCTGAGATCAATTTCCCCTTATTCTACTTTGGCTCCCCTGAAGAAGGCTTTCCATCTGTCCAGTCTCATACATACTGATGCATGTCCATAAAGTGGAGATTTTCTTCATTTAAACTGGAAAAACTTCCCATCTTTAGCCTGGATGGTCTGGAAATGGCAAGATGTTAATTATTTCTAATGCCTTAAATGGCATGTTTTCTAGCTACATCTCTGAGAGGTTTGTAGTTTGAGTCAAGCAACCAGCAGAAAAATAACAGGACCCTAACGTCTGGAACGATCTCCAGGAACTCAAATTGGTAGTGTAAAAAACTTACTTTAAAGTTAAAGGAAAGTTGATCTTAAAAGCAACTTCTAGGGTAAAGACTTTCCTGATTTTGCTTGAGTTTTAGTCTTTTGTTATATCTTTCTTAAGTTTTATTTTCTTGCCCCTGTGAATCACTTTGTAATGTGGACTGTGTCAAAGTGCCGCACAAGCAGGTAAACTGTAGAGCAGGAGGAAAGTGTCCTTCATTGCCCCATCTACAGAACTAAAAATGTCTTCTCAAAAAAGTTACTTCGTTCCACCAAAAGTTTCAATATGTAGATCTGATCCCTGCCTTATACATGATGCTGTTTGCAGACTCGCTCCGTCCGCAGAGACACCATCACGGAGGAGGAAGTGTTCCTCATCTGCAACCTTCTTGCCTTACTGTCATCTGCCGGCAACAGCGAGGGAAGAAAAAGCGTCCTGTGCATCCGGTGGAGGGAAAAAAAGAAGAAGCTTTCCCTCGGCTGCTTTTTATGACAGGCCTGACAAAATAACCAGCCCTCTCATTACGGTATATGCAAACAATGATAAAGGGGACGGCGGCAAGATGTCATGTTAGACAATCAAGGAGGGGACCTCTGACACGCTGCCACGAGTGTGTAATAAAGTGCCGCGGCAGGCGACAAATGACACCGCACTTAATTTGCTGCGCAATGTTCCTGTAATTAGGTGAATTTGGCACAGGCAGGGGGGAGCGACAGCTAGATCAAGGTCTTGATGAATTAGGGGTCCACTGTCAAGATCAAATCACATTAATCAAGGTGGCCGAGTCCGCGGACAGCCATCCCCTCCCTACCCCCTCCCTCCCTTCTCCCAGCCGGCGTGATGAATAGCCCTGCTTCCGCCAGGCGCGAAGTATGCATCACCATCAAATCTGTGAATTTAAATGTAAGAGTACTATTTGGAGGATTCTATTGACTTTTTTTGTCCCGCCGCCAGTTTTTCTTCGGTGATAAAGTAACTCTGAAGTCTCCTCGTTGTTCAAAGTGTGCCACGAATGCGGCAGCCCCCTGCCTGATTTTATATAGCTCACTTTTTTTAAAAGTTTACAATTAAGACGTGCAGTTTCTGTTTGTTGTTTTTGTTAAAATACTTTAAGTTTTATTATTTCACTACAAGTTTTCTAACACTAGCAGGCCTTTACTCCTGCTAACGATGTATTTTTTTGGGAGAAGACATTTGTCCTTATTCTAATTTGGGACACAGCAGGAATACTCCACTTCAGTCTTCAAGAGGCAGCACAAACCAGTCAAGTAATCATTAATCAAATTCTGTTTCTTTAGCATGTTTCATGCAGATCAGTGAAATTTAAAATGATTCAAAATCCAATAATTAAAACTAAATACAATAAAGAAAACACACACCTATAAAACAGAAAACACATTACAGCTACTTCTGAAACAAGTATAAACTTCTAATGTGTCCGGATTGGTTTCCCATTTTGGCTTTTTTACTAGCTCTTTGGGGGCAGGGGTAGGAACACCATCTTTAGTGTTTCAAGATTGTCCCATTGACTGTGTATAATGTCTCTGCTCTAGTTTAAAGTCAATAAAACAAATACCCTCCTCCTGGTTTCTCTCTTGTTTTAATTGGGATTGCCAGTGTAGCTGCTCCTTACATACAAATTCATTCGAAGAGACCAACATGAAATTATAGTGATGGATTAAATCAAACATAAATCTTCCAATAATTATGAAATTTAATGCAATAATGGGGAAAAAACCTGCAGAACCACCTGAATGTCACTAATCTCAGATATTGCCATCTATCACCAGACCCTTAATTAACCTTAATGCCGTTTACATATTATCTTGACAGTTAATTTTATGAAGTAGCCATCACCAGACTCATATACTTCATCTAAAGGGTAGTGGGCGGGTCCCGAGTTAAACTTCAAATCCTGCAATTAAAGTAATTACCAATAAGAGTGAATCATCATAGTGTTGCTTACAGATGATCTTATGATCGGTGGGGTTTTCTCTCTACCTTACTATACTAGATACTAGAGTACCTGGAAATGACTGTTGTTGTGAATTGATGCTAAATAAATAAAAGTGAATTTAATTTTAACAAATAAAAATACACTTATCTGGGTCAAGATACAGGGATAGCAGTCTAAGCAGAGAAGCCCAGACCTCCCTCTCCCATCCCCAAGCCAGGCAAGAGATATAATCTCTCCAGCATGTCCCGGGTCTGCCCAGGAGGACATACCCAAAATCCCTCACCTAGAAGCATCCTAATCAGATATCACTTCAACAGACCTCAACCACCCCAAGAGACCAAGGCATCTACGGACAGACAATCAATGGAACATGTTAGCCACATGGTCCAACCCTCTAGTGGACCCATCATCCTTTTAGAGGAAAATCTAATAAAAATCAGAACCAGAAACAACGCTAAAACCTAGATCAGTGAAGTATGTATCTACATATAAAATATGTTGAGTCAAAGGCAGTTTGGACATGGATGATGGTCGACTTCACCACTTGAAAGAGTTCTGTTCCCCATTGGGGTTAACCTGACATCTCAATGACTTTTCCCAAATAGCTGGGAGGTTTAAGATTCCGATAGAATTCGTGGCTCCAGTTCCTGTGGGATAATGGCTTTATTGTAAAGTTTCTTTAGAAGTCTTTTTGGAGTTTTAAATTGTGTTAAATGGACCTCATCAGCAGATTGAGTTTGCAAAGCTGTTGTGAAGTTCATTCCTGACCTTGCAAATGACTCCAGCTGCTGATGAAACTCATGTATTTTGATCAAAAGCTCTCCATAAAAGTTGAAAACGTAAGGAGTGACTTTCCTAACCGCTGTTTTGAGAACCAACTTTAAACCAGACACATTTTCAGAGTCTTTCAAACTGTGAAATGAAGTGAAACCAAAGTCTCATTCAGTCTGCTGCACGGTTATAGGTTTTGGAGAATTCAGAGGAAAAATTCTGGTTTGACTTTTAAATAAAAGCAAGAACAAAACCGACACTGTGTTTTCTCAACAAAGTGAATTTCCCTAGAGAAAATAAATGGGATTTCATCTGTGACTGAACCTCACTGCAACCCAGAAGTCGGACTCACCACCAGCACTGAAGCCTGTTTTGTGACCTCTATACTCCAGGAGTTTAATTACGGTGCTAGCTCGGGGGCAACACGGCCTGCACCACACAGATTAGCTCCACAACAAGCCATTAATGAATATAAAGAGGTGCTGGGCAGAGGTGGGGTGTATTATGTCATCAGTGATGGATCCGGCCCTGCCGATCGCTGCTAATGGAGCGAGCTGCAGATTGACACCATCCAACTTTAATTTTATTTAACTTTTCACTTAGTCAGAAACAGAAAGGGAAATAAATATAGCTAGTAGTAGCCATAAATGTAACTAGTATATCCACTCAGACACTGTGGGCATGTTTATTCTTATTTTTCACTGGTAGACCTGATCTGATATAACTTATTTCTTAAAAGGAAAACATCAATCTTTAAAGAGCTTTGCATTTACATAAGAAGTCCGTAAATCTTGTATCAAACTGAGGACAAAAACTTCCAGTGTAGTAAAACTTTAATACTTTCAACACCTCTGAAAACAGGGAACCTCAGTTAAAGCTGGAAATCTTCGTCCTGCTGGTAAAATGCCTTGCTTAGTGGCACCTCAGCTATTAAAGGAGAATATTTTCCTCTCTTCTCAGTGAGATTTTTACCAGTTTGGATCCGAGCAGCTGAACTTCAGACTTCTCAAGCATCAGAGTGTTTCATCCCCAGACGGCTGGAGCCAGAAGAGCAAAGCTTGCCCACATAATCAAACTGTATCGGAAACAAGGGCTGTAGAGGGGAAATTTAGGAACTAGCATTGATTATTCACTTTGGAAGTCAGCATGTTGTCATCTGCTTTTGATATTGAACTTGGCAAACGTTCAGCTCTCATCAGCTAGCGTGGTATCACAGCAAATCCTCCAGAGTTAAAAAAAAAAGAGAAAAAAACAACCTCTGTACTGTTCTGGAGTAACTGAATATGAAATAACTATTTGCATCAAGAAGATCTGATGACTTGAAGCCAGTTTAGTGAAGAAGCCTCTTTGGAGATAATTACCCAGAAAGAAGAAGAAGAAGGTGGTCACTTACCTGTGCATGGCATGGAGTGCGTGAGGCTCGTAGTGGTATCGCCCCTCGTGATGGCGCATGTCAATCGGGATCGGCGTGTGGAAGGTTGGGAAGATGTGGTGGGGGGCTGCAACAACAGAGAGGCAAAGAAGAAGAAGAAGAAGAGAGTTAGCCGAGGAAGGCAGAGAGGGAGAGAGGAGACTTCAAAAAAAGAAGAGAGACATTTCAAAGGCAAAAGGGCTACAATAAAGCAACATGAATTTCAGAGCAAGCTGAGCACTTTCGTGTAAAATATTGGCACTATCACACAAGAGAAGTGGAATAAATAAATAATCAAAGTTGTCCTAAGAAATCCTACATCTTGAACATAAAAGATATCCAACTGGGCTTTTGACAAAGACCTGCAGCTAGATGGTCTTTGAACTAGACGGGATGATGGACTGTGTGGAGGGAAGCTGCAGCCCCGACTCAAACTGGGACTGACAGCGCTGGGAAAATGCTTTCTTCTACTCACGCTCTTTCCATCCAAACAGCCTGAGTCTCCTCTGGAGCTCCAAACAGGCTCATAAAACACAGCTAAAGCCCTTAACTGACTCAACACAGAGTCCACACACTCCCCCTGTGTCGGGTGTAAACACAAGTGCATGTGTCTGACTGATTATTGGTTGTTTTGCCGGACATAATTACTGGAGGAGGAAATTGTGTGACTGTGCTTTCTGTTTCTGGGATTGAAGAGCCGGATGCATGGTTCCTGATCTGTGTTTGTCGGCTCAGTGTTGGGATAAATTACTGAGGTGTAATTCCAAAAACTTAAAACAACAAAGACCAGAGTATCTGGACTTTTTTTTATCCGAGGCATGAGTCAAGCTCCAAAAACGCTGGAGCCTACATTTCCCATAAGGCAATTAAAGCTTTGGGGCCCTTGATTCTATAGTACATGATGGATGAATACCTGCTATCATCCAGGGAAAGGAAACAACATTCAGCTGTCCATATGGGAAGACACCTGAGTGAACATGCTAAATTGTTCATCAACACAAAGTGATGAAACATCCTCATCTCAGCCACAAATCCAACCCACGCATCTCACTTCAAACTGCAATACAATAAATGTTGTACTCCTGCAGTTTCCCTGATCATCTTTCATGGTCCAGTGCGAGAAACCAACCTGAATGACAGTAGTTGCCATTAAGACAAAACCTGTTTCTCAAGCTCTTGCAACATCTCCCCTTGTATAATCTAAGGACCTCTGTATCATTCCACTGGTGTATCATTAAAATGACAATAGACTGGTGTCTTCAACCTGGCCATGCTGCATGCTTGAGGTTCAAAAAATTGAGAAGTGAATGCTGAAACAACATCAAAGCTAAAGGATTCAGGAGAGATTTGAAACTGTTAGTAAGCAAGACAGCCTGAGCTGACAAAGTGATTTTGTAGCAAGCTTTGGCTGTGAAAGAACAAAGAAAGGCATTAGCTAAAATCTCTAAAGTTATCCACAATTGTAGCTAAGCTACAAACAATGACTAGCTAACAGAAAATCTAATTTTGATGTCACAGAAAGTCACAAAATGTTGACTTTGCCCACAAAAGATAAGTTACAAACCAGCTGCTGATTGGTGTTTTGTTGCATTCTAGCAGAGCCATGCTAATGGTTCCACATTTACAGCCTTTATGCAACGCTAAGCTAATAACTGTAGCAACAGATGTCGTTTTGTTTTAATACAAGCAGAATTTCCAAACGCATCTAACTTTTTCCTGTAAACTCAGATTCCTCTTACATTAGATAAAAACTGTTTGTGTCAGATAAGCATGAAGACAAAGCCCAGGTTGTGTTTAATAAAGGTGCATTCCTGCTTCTCATTTACCCAGCCGTTTGTTTTTACAAGCTCTGAGCATCCTTTTAATGGCCCTTTTTATTTGTCATTAAGGCGCTGTTTTCCTTTCATGGGTTCTTCTCGGATCTGGGAAGTTTACCCAAAACATCAGAACTAATTAGCTGTTGCGATAACACGAAACCACAGAAGATGTCGTGTCTTTATTTTACCACCACATAAACAGAGCCTTTTGGGGGGTGGCTCGCTCAGCTTTATGGAGTTATGTTTCTTGTTAACATTTTTCTCAGGTTTTTAATCTGGAAAAGCTCCACGAGGGCATTGCCTGACTCTCTCTCTACATGGTTCTCTCATCGTCTCCTCGCTCGTCCTCGCTGCAGTTTTCACGTCCTGCTAATTGCATCCTGGTGTGTCTCGACTCCGGGCTGCCTGATCAGAGACGAAGAAGACAGAGAGCGAGGAGGAGGAGGTGAGCCAGCTGATCTCTGGATTGCATTAAAATTCTTCCTGTGTGACACACACACGCGCGCGCGCGGGCGCTCTTGCGGGCGCTCTTGCGGGCGCTCTTGCGGGAATCTCTCAGGGTGACCTGGGATTTGGGAGCGGCGGGGTCAGGGCCACGGATCATTATCTGCTCTCCACCGAGCGGCGGGAAGGGATAACGTGGCCTCCTGGGGCCTCTAGGGGCCTCAGACCTGAGTGAGTCAGCATTCCAGGTCCATTCCTCTCACTCTGCCCCTGACAGCGTGACGGACAGCCCCGGTCCCTGAACGCCTGCAGAAATAGCCCACTTTACTTCATTTTGGGCCAGCTGCGGGGGGCCCGCGGGGGGCCCGCGGGGGGCCCGCAGGGACGGGGGGCTGGATTCCTTCAGGCGACCAGCTCAGCCTTGTCACACCATCGTTTGGGCCGTGTTTGCTTTGGAGGAAGACGCGATTCAGAGGCTCTGCTGAGGAGGGAGCCAGTTTCCTGTCGCCGACAGTTGGAACGAGTGACTGCTTTCACTTTTTCAGTGTGGAAATGTCTCTGAATGAAGTGCTTGGGTCATCGCTGTCACTCATCAGAGCATGAGGGGGAATTAAGAAAGACGCTAAATGGGTTGTTTTGGTGCTTTCGCAACTGACCCGTTTGTTAAATAAACTCAGTTCAGTTTATTTAGGCGAGTGTGAACTCTGGTTATATGGTGAGAAGGAGGTGGACTGTGATATGGCTTCATGCAACTGAAACTGATTCAAATCCATCTCCTGGACGTGAATCATGGAGGAGCAACATTAAACTTTGGAATATGGTTTTCTGGCAAATAACTTTTATTTATTCCCTTAATCGAGTCCCAGGTTTCTTGAAGAGCAGCTTTTAGTTCAGCAGTGTCTCATTATGATGAAACAGCACAGAAAAAAACAAGAAAGTGTTTCTCTTTCATTCTACTCTGTTGTAGTCATCACGGAAGACTAAACCCTGCTTCCTGACATTGACAAACACATCTGGAATTAATAAATGCAAATGCCACAAAAATGACAGCATGTACCAGTATAAACCGTCAGCTGAGCTGAGACATTATAAACACAGAGAGTTTAATCAAATGCTGGCTTCAAAACTCAGTGGAGAGCTGGTTTAGTCTCTGATACGACAAAAAACAGCAAAATAAAGTCCACCACAACTATAAAAAATCTGAGGTGATGCCTCTTTGTTCAATCAAGAGACCAAAAAGCAAAGAGACACAAATGGCAGTGAAGAGAAATGAATCGAAAGCAGCAATTTTCTGATTTGAACTCTGTAACCAGAGTTTTTTTTAATTATTTTTTTGTGAATCACACTCACATACAGTGTTTATATTAAGTGTTGCACGAGAAATCTCTCAAGTTCAAGGATGATAAAATATAAAGTGATTTAGTTGCATTCAATTCGTATGTAAGCAAAATTAAAAATAATAAGTTACCACAAATCTTTTTTTAATTTAGTAGAAATTGAAATGTTTGTCAGTGGGTAAACAATTAGTGTTGCTCACTCAGAAAAAGCAACTTATTCTTAGTCCTGTGTGCTTGCAATGAATAAGTTGTCCTAACGTGGTTATCGTAAATAAGCTTTACTTTGTTTTTTTTATTAGAATTGACAGTGCATTAGAGGCTGTGGTTACTCTTCTACTGATATTGGATTTAAACGTGATGAACTCACCCAGTGTGTGCGGGGCAAGGTCATATAAGCTCTTATAAACAGAACAAGCAAACTTAAATATTTTAACATTTTTAAAACTTAAAAATGGTATCATATTTCTGGAGTAGGAGACAGTAATGGACGGAAAAATGTTTTCCAATTAAATGAGGAATCAAATCGATAATTGATATCAATAATGGAACCGTATTTTATCTTTATCTTATCAATTCCCATCCTTAATTACTCAAACCAAGACTTCTTCCTAAATCAAACTGGTAGTTTTCCATGCCGAAAGTCATTTATATTGCCTAAACCTATACCGAACACAAATTTAATAAAGACATCTTAGTTTCTAAGCCCAACCAGGAGCTACAATCCAACACATACCACTGCTGTCCCACCAACCCCCTAACACAGACTTTGGAGGTCTAGGACCCGTATCTGTGGTGCACATGGAGGCATAGACACTAAATGGGCATTTTGAAGTGAAAAGAAATGAAACAGCATTATGTGAAACTCCAACATGGCGAGGCACTGACTGTTCCTACCTTTTATTAACAAAGAGAGAGTGTGACCAAACAAGACCGAGGTCTTTATGATATACACAAGAGAAGATGAAGAAACGTCAGGAACAAAGTTTTGCTTCAGTGTGGCATGAAAGAGACAAACAGGTTTTACTTACAGTGTTAAAGATGTTTCTGTGGGATTTAAGAGCAGTTTGATAATGTGGTCAGTAACACCTGTGTTTACCTAATATTTCATGTGATGATGAAGATGAAGCAGACCTCAACAAACAAGCCAAATCTAATGAACCACAGGTGGGAGAGTCCTACTTTTCCTCCTCTTCTGAAAAAGTTCTGATGGTTATTAGTTTTTTATTGATTGGTTTCAAGTTGGATTTCAAAAAAAAAAAAAGTCTTTAAATGGGTGAAACTGATCTGTGGTTAGCAGTGAAGACGCTTGTATCTGTTCCTGTGAGTTCCAGTCATGACTGACTCGTGTTGAGGGCGACGCCGCCCCTTCCTCTTCCTCGCTGTTTCTCGTGGAAAAAGCCCCGCGGTCGCGTGTTTTTATTGGAGTGCTTCACATTAATTAAAGGCTCCAAACGTGACATTCAAAAGTCAGACGGCAGCAGCTGTGAAGA